CTCAAACTTTACTGCATTCATATAAGAGTACTAATTTATACGGAGAAGCGAATAAACCAATTTCATTATGTGATCTCAATTGTTTGAGTCGCTACCACAGTTTGTTATATAGTTGTTCATCTACCGGGGTGGCAGTTATATTCTTTGGATGTGAGCATCCCAAGCGTCATGTGATATGGAATTTCTATTGCTGAGTTATTATTTTCCTTCCACATACGTTTGACCAGCCTAGCTTTTTAAGTGAAATGGACTTCTCCAGTTTAGTCGGTATTAGTTCCTTGCGTATTCCTCAACACCCAAACTAGAATATCGAGCAGATCAGGACGACATGTGACAAAGTGTAAAATCGATAGTCTCAAAGCTCCTAGATACACATTTGGAGTTTGAACAGACGTCTTACAAATGAAAAAATTCACTAAGTCTAGAATTGTAATGCTATTAGGCCTGGGATTATGATTAATTGGAATGATTTGTTTATTTATATTTATTATTTTAATACTTCTCTAAAAGGGAGATGAAGATCTCTTCGACTCAGGTATATATTAAAAAAAGGAAAAAAACTGCAGCGGTAGGTTTTATAAGGTTCCTCTTGCAAAAGTTATTCCATACACATTGAGCTTTGTTCAAGGTTTAATAGATTTTGGTGGCTAAATGATATGAGCTGTAATTTGGCAGGTCCCAGTGGGCGTGGTTGAAGCCATGACAGTGTTAAAACATCCATTGCCCAGTGCACAAGGGTTTGTGGGTTTTGAAAAACAAAAGGTGTGTGACTAACAAAAGGCAAGTTAAAACATTCATTGCCCAGTGCCCATTGTCCAGTGCTTTATTTTTTTCTCAATTCATTACTGATTTGATATTCCTCAATTTGTTTTTCATTACTTTTCAGATGAAAGAAGAAAATAGTCGATGGAGACAACGGCGGGATTGGGATTATGGTTCGAAACCCTAGCTCTAGAACATGAATCTTTGATGCATAAAACAGCAAGAAGATGCAGTGATCGAGTAGGAACGCAAAGAGCGATGGTCTTGAGAACTACCCCCGGCGAGAAACTTGTGACGAAACTTGTGACGAGAAGGTACAGAAACGAAGCCAAATTCACAGTCCAACCATTAGTGTTTTCAAGGGTATACTCTTTAACTCCATATTTTTTTTCTTTAGTTTCCTCTTCCTTTTTGTGTTGATTTCATGTTTATTATCCAGTTCTAGTTGTATTGTGTATGTTTTAGGGCTTGAACAAAGATGAAATTATATTTAATCCTGTTATGATTGATTTCGTTTATATTTTAAATATAATGCACTCTTTGATTGTTTTTTATATGTTTTGTTTAAAGCTTCAGGAAAATTTTTATGTCTTATTGTTTAATTGATAATTTTGGAGGCTGAGTCTCAATCCTTGCCCGAAAGTGGCAA